TACACATTGAAGTGCCCACCGCAGTGATTACAACAGCTGCCGAGATACTGCATTAACATGTAAAGCGACCGCTCATCCAGCTCTATTCGGGTACATCAACACGACGACTCAGGCTCACATGTGCGCGAGTGCCGACCGCCACGTGTCTCACCGGCTCACGGGCGATTCATCGAAGAGGACGGCACTTAATATAATTGCCTCTCATTTACACGGACTATATACACTATATACACATCTCATTTTATACACCGCTCATCGATTCTCAGGTCAGATTGTATCAATTTCGACGCATTAAAGACGCATTAAAGACGGCTCAGATTGTGGTCTGAGTTACATAAAATAAAGTGCATATTCTGTTAACACCTTCCACGCGCGTCCTTCTCATCCCGCTTCCATCGCCGGGATTAAACAGCGATTTCGCGAACATTTGGTCCTTCGAGCCGGATGCGTGGAACTTAAAGTGTAACTCAGACACAGATCATGTGAACAGAGCATGCCCTTCACGACATGCCGCGTGGACATTATCGCGCGCTTTCGCGAGTGAAGGACAGACATTCTCACGCGCGCTCGCGAGTGTTACGAAAACATGTTCACGCGCTCCCGCGAGTGTAAACAGACATTTTCGCGTGCTCAATATATGACATTGTAGACTCTCGATTCGCGTAGTGTTGTCCTAACGCGTTTCTCGAACGTTCTCGCCTCTTGCAGTGTTTCTCATACGTGTCTCGACGATTCTCAGGTCTCTCATCGGGCGCAGCTCATTGACGTCTCATCATGCCGGATCCCGCAAAAGACGCGACGGGCGGCAAGTCCCCGCCATTACTCAAGCTGCCGGAGGACAAGCGCACTTCAGATCGCCAGGCCTCACCGGTGCGTTTGTCTGCTGAACTCACCTTAAAGGTGAGGACACAGATGAACCGCATCGCGACAGTGCGAAAAATCGGCGAGACCTTACCATCGTCTGTAGAGGACACGTCTGTGGATGAGATTCTACAGATCTCAATTCAGCTCGAGGAGGTGCACAAGGCGTTCCTTAAGGAACACGCCTACTTCGAGGTCTCATGGCCGGCGGCGCTCGTCGACCATGAATATTTCTCCAACGACGCCTTCGCCGTGGAGGCGGAGGAGTGTATGACGGCTCGTCGCGCTCTGGCAAAGCTCAAGGGCGCATTGGCGGAAAAGATCGCTCCAACGACAGCTCCTGTAGCGGCGCAGCCCTCACAATCTCAGCAGAGATTGCCGGATATTAGCATCCCGTCCTTCAAGGGCGTGTACGAGGCATGGCCTACGTATCGCGATCTCTTCAAGGCGGTTATTTATGACAGCCAACGGCTCACCGACGTGGAGAAACTCCACTATTTGCGGCTCTCACTAGAAGGCACGCCTGCTCAGCTCATTTCCGGATTGCCTCTCACCGCCGACTCGCTCAAACCATCCTGGGAGATGCTCGTCGATCGCTACGAGAACAAACGTCTGCTCATCCAATCATATCTGGACCAGCTCTTCGCCAGCTCAACACCGGTGCAGAAAAACGCCGCGGCACTGGACAAGCTGCTCAACACCTTCAAGGAGGGCATCAAGGGCCTCCAATCCTTGGGCGTATCACAGGATCTGGGCGACTGCGTACTGGTGTACCAGCTGTCTAGGCAATTGGATCGCCAGACTAAGGAGCAGTGGGAGACGTCGTTGGGCGCCGCGCGCGAGTACCCGCGGTTCGAGAAACTCGAGCAATTTCTCACCTCGCGAGCACGAGCACTCGAGAGAATCGAGTCGACGACCAGCTCAGGAAGCTCGGCAGGGGCTGCTTCGACCGCGCGACGCTCCTCGACGGCTCATCTTGCGGCAGCTCAACCGGCACGCACCAACACCTCAGCCGGCTCAACAGAGTACCCGTGCGACTGCTGTAATGGCACGCACTTCGTGGTGACGTGCCCGAAGTTCAGAGAACTCTCACCGGGCGATCGACAGAAGCTAGCCATCTCACGGAGGCTGTGCTTTAACTGCCTCGGCCGTCACAACGTTCGCTCATGCAAGAGCTCACGGGGGTGCAAGAAGTGCACCTACCGACATCATACGATGCTGCATGAGGCACATCAGAGCGACTCATCCTCGAAGCCAACCACCAGCTCTGCCTCGGCACCTCAATAGGACAACGGTGCAATCGTCGCACGCTCATCTTTTGCTCGCTCATCACACTCAACGTTACTCGCCACGGCCCTGGCTCAGATCAGCTCATCGGTTAATACTCAGCACGTACGGCTTCTCATCGATACAGGTTCTGAACTTACGTTTGTCTCAGAATCGCTCATCCGTCAGCTCAACATTCCTCGTCATCATTCTGTCATTCTCATCACCGGAATTGGTGGCGGAAAGGCTACGCAGACTCGAGGAGTTGCACTCCTCAAGCTCCGCTCACTTCGCTCACGATCAGACGTCATCATTCAAGCTCACATTTTACAGACGTTAACCAACATTCTGCCATCATTCAACGCTGCACCACAGGAATGGCCGCATCTCACCAAGTTAACCTTGGCTGACCCCGATTTTCTGACACCGCGGCCAGTGGATATTATCATTGGAGCTGACTCATATGGGCAAATCATCAAGCCCAACATCATCAAGCAAGACACATTGATGCCAATTGCGCAGCTCTCAATTTTCGGATGGCTCGTTCTCGGACCTGTCGACACATCATCATCAGCATCTGCTGCAGTGCATCATGCATCGATTCAGGAAAGGGAAGATGCTCTCTACGAGTTATTGTCGAGATTTTGGACACAGGAAGAAGTGCCTGCGAGCAACAATCCTGAGCTTACTCCTGACGAGCAAAGATGTGAAGAACATTTCCAGAGCACTGTATCACGGGATTCAACAGGTCGATACACAGTCCGACTCCCATTAATATCATCACCTGATACTCTTGGCAATTCGTATCTCACTGCGCATCGATGTCTGCAAAGTTTACAAAGGAGATTCTCCCGAGATGACAATTATCGACGTCTGTATCATCAATTTATGACAGAATATCGAGATCTCAACCACATGAAGAAAGCTTCACCCGTTTCCAGTCAGCAACCGCAATATTATTTGCCACATCACGGAGTGCTCAAACCAGACAGTGCAACCACGAAATTACGAGTGGTATTCAATGGCTCGAGCGCATCCACATCTGGCCGCTCACTGAATGATATCATGCACACGGGAGCCAAGTTGCATTTAGACGTCACCGACGTCTTGCTCTGGATTCGACAATTTCGACACCTAGTTGCCACGGACATCACCAAGATGTACAGACAGATCAACGTGCATGAAGATGACTGGAACTTACAACGGATTCTCTGGCTCGACGAACTGCTCAATGAAGTGGCCTATTATCTAACCACGGTCACGTATGGAACCAAGGCTGCCCCGTTCTTGGCAGTCCGAACGCTGCTGCAACTGGTGGAGGACGAAGGCCATAATTTTCCGCTTGCAGTGCCGTCCATCCTTCAAGGTCGATACGTCGACGACATTTTTGGAGGCGCTGATACTGTTCAACAGTTAATCAAGATTGCATTGCAGCTGAAGAACTTGTGCAGGGCGGGCGGCTTTCCATTGGCCAAGTGGCACGCGACTCATCCAGACGTGCTCACTGCTGTTCAAGCAGAGAAAGACCAGGGCTCACAAATTACATTCGACGATTGCGCAACCAAGATACTCGGATTACGATGGCTTCCTCAAGAAGATTCATTCGCATTCGCAACAAGGATCTCGTCGCATACCGATCATCTCACCAAACGCCTCGTTTTGTCTGAAGTGGCTCAGATATTCGATCCACTAGGCTTTGTATCACCAGTCGTGATCAAGGCGAAGATGCTCTTGCAGGAGCTTTGGCTTCACAAGCTCCAATGGGATGAACCACTGCCATCCCAGCTCTCATCACGGTGGCTCATCATCAGAAAGGAACTCACCAGCTTGCGCAAGATCTCAATACCTCGGTGGTATACCACATGGAATACATCGACAGTGGAATTTCACGGCTTTTCTGATGCTTCTCAACTGGCAATGGCTGCAGTCGTATTTATCACCGTCCACGGCTCAAATGGTACCACGATTTCATTGGTGTGCTCCAAAACAAAGGTAGCACCGCTCAAGCGGCTCACCATCCCGAGACTTGAACTCACCGCAGCACTGCTGCTCTCAAGACTCATGCAATACGTTCAAGCCACCTTGAAGTTGAACGTCACAGCAACTCACCTGTGGACGGACTCTGTTGTGACACTCACGTGGATCAAATCTCATGCATCGCGCTGGAAGGATTTCGTGAGAAATCGGGTCTCTCAAATTCAAGAGCTCACTGCGAACGCACATTGGAAATACGTACCAGGTACGTCCAACCCAGCCGACTGCGCCTCACGAGGATTAAGTACTGCTCAACTCCAAAGCCACTCATTATGGTGGACGGGACCACCGTGGATACTCACCCCTGAAGCTTGGCCATCACAACCCGCGCTGTCGGACGAGTTGAGCGCTCATGAGGCTCGTCCTGGCATTGCGCTACATGCGGCCGCATCTCAACCGGACTATCACTGGGACCTGATATATAGGTATTCAACACTCAACAAGTTATTGAAAATAACAGCTCTTTGTTTCAGATTCATATCGCTTCTGGGAAACCACCGTCGCAAGCCACTGGACTTGCACTCAGCTTTGGAAGAGGCCAGACTCTTCTGGATTAAGGCTACTCAAGCGGCATACTTCACGCACGAGATCAAGATGCTCACGGCCAACTCGAGACTACCAACTGCTCACGCATTCAGCCGATTGACTGCGTATGTGGACGCTCAAGGGATCATCCGAGTTGGCGGCCGCCTCAATCAATCAGCACTAGCTCAAGACAGCAAACATCAGGCGATTTTGCCTCGCCACTCCCAGCTCTCAACCTTGATCATTTCACACGCTCATCTGCGTACTCTGCATGGAGGAACTCAGCTGACATTGGCTCATGTCAGGCAAAGCTACTGGATCATCGGCGGACGGGCTCCGGTGAAGTCGCATATTCTGCGGTGTGTCGTGTGTGCTCGGCAGAGGGGGATCCGTGCTCATCAACTGATGGGCCAACTACCTCTCTCTCGGGTTACGCCGTCACGTCCGTTTACTCACACAGGAGTTGACTATGCCGGACCGCTCACCATCAAAACATGGAAAGGACGAGGTGCAAAAACATACAAAGGATGGATCTGTGTGTTCGTCTGTTTCTCCACCTCCGCAATTCACCTCGAAGTAGTCAGTGACTACTCATCAGAAGGATTTATCGCAGCCTTCCGAAGATTTTCCGCGAGAAGGGGAATTGCTCAGACCATATATTCGGACTGCGGGACAACATTCATTGGAGCAGACGCCGCGCTTAAGAAAATGTTCATCCAGAGCTCACAAGAACATCAACGGATCGCTCACATTCTACAACAGGATTGCACCAGATGGGAGTTCAACCCACCAGGCGCTCCACACATGGGGGGCAAGTGGGAGGCGGTGGTGAAATCGGTAAAGTTTCACCTGAGACGGACTATCGGGGAGACTCTACTCACAACGGAAGAACTTACAACGTTGCTTACGCAGATCGAGGCCATTCTCAACTCGCGGCCGTTAGAACCGTTGAGTGACGACCCTGAAGACGTCTCAGCGCTCACACCAGGTCATTTCCTCATTGGAGGTCCACTCACTACCATACCTGAGCCATCTCTGATTGACCTAGCAACCTCACGCCTATCTCGATGGCAGCTCATCCAACAGCGGGTTCAACATTTTTGGGCACAATGGTCGGCTCATTATCTGCAACGCCAGCAGGCGATATCCAAGTGGCATCATCCTAACAACCATATCAAGGTGGGGTCCATCGTGCTGCTCACCGACGAACGCTCTCCACCGTGCAAGTGGCCACTCGCCAGAGTAACGGCCTTGCACCCCGGCAAGGATGGACTCACCAGGGTGGTTACCCTCAAGACGGCCACCACGACACTCACTCGGCCAAGTGCCAAGCTTGCGATTCTACCCATTTCAACTGAATGAAGGATCATGAGTAAGGAATCATCAACAAGGTTGCTGATGGCGGGCGGAATGTTCGAGATTCCCTTAACGTTGCGCCGTCCGATCAGATGGCAGCATCGATCGGGTAACGACGTTCGATCGCCGCGGCAGCTTGCGCCCGCACGGGCGCGCTCATCGCCACCTTCTTCCTCGCGATCGAGGCAATTGGAAAAATGGCCGCGCAGTGATTAGACGCACGACGTGTGCTCCGTGCATTTTCGATTGTGATTACACATTGAAGTGCCCACCGCAGTGATTACAACAGCTGCCGAGATA